TTTTTTTATTTATTTTTATTTTTTTATTTTTTAATATGATCAGTTTTATTTAAATCTTATTAAAGGATGTCTAAACCCAAGAATACAAATTTAAATGATTGCAGCTTGCCAATCCTTGCTCTCTCCATTAGTTTACATTTTGCAGACTAAGAACATTTTTAGCGAGTACAGAAAATACATGTTGATTCAGCCAAAACTTGCCCTTTACCCCCCATGAAATAGAGATGAAGTGAGGAAAACATGTTTGAAGTCCAGTCTGGATGCCAACCATGGATCCCTCTATAGATACAATGGAGTGAGTGTAGCCACCCTAGGACATGAAGTGTGTTATTTGCAGGATTACCATGTGAAAGTAAAGGGAAAAAAAGGAACTAATGCAGCCACCACATCTAAGGACTGGTAGGCGGCAATTTATTATTTTATTTGTTTTTGGTTATAAATACATATTAATAAGTGTGATTTTTAACGTAGACCTAAACACTATAAAGCACAATATATAAACGTTGTTAGTGTAATTTTAGCAGGTGTTTATTATCATTTTAAATATACATCTGTTACTAAAATAATGCCTAGTGATACTTCCACAAAGGCCCTTGTTCAGGCACTTCCTGTTATGTATGACAACTGTCTCCCAACTTGTGCTGCTACATTGTCACCCTGTCACATGTGCGCTGGTTGAGACTACAAGCAGCCATGCCAACACACATTACACAGATGTGGTGCATCTTCTTCACTATCAGGAATCTGAGTAATGATATGCAGTCAGTGTTGTGGAGTAAATGCTTGTAGATGGGTAGTAAGTATAAGGCTAAAGGAGATCAGCAGCAATGAGATGAAGGATGATGTGTTCTTTGGAAAAAAAAGGCAGTTTTTATGGTACAAAGTGCTTTAGCAAACTATATGTAATTTAGTCAATTTCTGGGACAGACCTGACTGTATTAGGAGCTGCAGACCTTTTGCAATATTGATCACCTATATTTTCCTTAGATGGAAACTGTTAGTTCAGCAAAGCTTACCAGTAACTACATGGAGAGCCTACCTTATTGGGTGTAAATCAAATGGATTGTTTAGTCACCCCATTCACTACCTAGTTACCTATTTAGGTCAAGTGACAGTGGGTTTGTAAAGCACCCACCTTCTCCCCCCACAAGTTATACTCACCTTACCAGAATTATCTTGCTTCTATTGCTGCCACCACAGATAAAGGACTTGGTGTGTCTGAGTATTGGGATCATATGACAGTACGCAGGCCTTATTGGGTATAAATTAAATGGATTGTTTAATAGCTAGGCCCAAGCACTGATAAAGGGGGTGATGTCACTTTCCATTAGCCTCTCACGCTAGTCTCTCACACAGGCAATACCTCAAATTTCAATGTCAGTTGCAGCAGAGGCAAGATTTGTAAGGGAGCAAGGTTAAGTAAGGTTAGTATACCTGGGTTGGGGGAGGCCCTTTGCAAACACAAGCTGATGCTGTCTCTTTAATGTGGCTAATGGACCTTCTACATAGACATTTTTAGAGAGAAAATTTCTTCCTACACCTTTTATCCATGATCTTGTCCACTCTCATTTTATTTATAGTACATGAACATATGGACACAGATATCTGTATCAGAAAACACGTTGTTATGTATAAAGTACTAGGTGTTATTAGCATTGCAGCAAACTCATAGTAATGGGCTATTTTTATTAGTGCAAGGATGAACCTGACTCACATGATTCTCACATAGTCCTTTGTAAGGAACACTGAGCTATGCTCAGAGATTACAGATCTATATTATGGTTATATCATTAACTGGAACAATGTGGCTCACTATTTTGTTTGTAAAATGACTGATCTGCACCGGATTGTGGCTAAAAAATAACACACATTTGAGGTGTCTGCGTGATATGTGCCTCTAATAATATTCAATCCGACCATCTCCAGTGTCAACATTTTTCATCTTCATTGGTTGCTTTGCTAGGTAAACCTGTCTACAGAAAGGTTCATTTTAGAGATCATCCTTTGCCATCTACAATAATCAACATTTCAGGTATACATTTTGCTTATATTTTACTGCTAATAACCCTAACACAACCAGTTTGTGTGTGCTTTTCCATAATATTAACTAAACACATGTTGGTTTACATTCGATTCTTCATAGACCAACATAGGTCTGGTCATTACAATTTTTTCCTCCATCCCAAGATGGAGGAAAAAACTGGACAAACACGGATGTCACAACGGGCATATCCCCTGCAGATCGGAACTGAAGGCGCCATCTGAAAGTCTGCAGCATTTACCATTATGGATCATGAACGCCTAAGATCACATCCCATATTCTTGTTTAAGATTTCAATGTTGCTTAACCATTAAATTCTGTGTTCAGTATCCTCTCTGAATTTCTAACAAATTATAGAATATTAAAAATAATACTAGACCTTATATACTTAACTCAGGTTGTAGGTTTAGCGTTCATATTGGGTGAGATTGTTTTCTTATAGAACATGTATAATGTGCAGATGGAGACTAGCTGTGCCCTTTTCTAGCTAAATATTCACCTGGAATTGTTAAAATTTGGCCAAATGTTGATCTATCTACTGTCTTTCCCCTTTACATTTGTCCATACTGCACCCATCTGAAAATCTCCAGGCCATGTTTTATCCATCTAAAACATAATAACCAGCTTCCATATGCTAATTTTACTCCTATGTGTTAAAGGATATATATGGTCGAAAACTAAAAAACAAAATGTATTTCTATTTTGAATTTACATAAGTTATATCCCACTCCTAATATCCATATCAATCACATGTGTAAATGTACCTTTTGAAGATGCCCATAGGACGTACTTCCTCAATGCAGTGCCACAATTTCACTCAGCCCTGTGAATATGCACTTCTTTGTGTCACCACTATAATTAAGCCCGCTCTCTCAATTACACCTCCACATCTAAACTGCCACAATGTAACATTATCATTGCTTGCTGGACGCAATGCATAATGGAATCAAGATTACATCACATCAAGCAGCAGGGAAAGAGACTCAAAGCACACTGCAAATCCATAATATTGGGCAGATGGAAAGCAGCACTTACTACATTAAAAAAAAAAATTTCTAGTTAGCTTTGATTGCATTATCAAAAATATTGAACAAAATTGGGCTGCACAGTGGTTAACCTGGTTCCCTGGTTCGAATCCCAGCAAGGCCACTATCTCTAAGGAGTTTGCATGTTCTCCCTGTGCTTGCATGGGTTTCCTCACACACTCCAAAGATGTACTTGTAGGTTAATTGGCCCTGTATGTATGCATGTGAGATAGTTTACTTAGATTGCCAGCTCCTTCAGGACAGGCACTCATCAAAATCAGTGAGTAAAATAATTACTCAGCTAAATCTGCGGTCACACGACGCTTTAGTCCTGAATCTGTACACAGTAGAGACGTGAGAAGTATAGGAAGTGCGTGGACACTTCCTATTTGCTGTCCAGCAGTGGGGTCCTCTCGGAATCCACAAGAATAGTCTCAGCATTGATGTCAGCAAAAAGAGATCATCTGGCACATCTGCATCACTGCCCAGGGACCTGGATGGCGAGCTTAGATAAATGAGAAAGATGAGCTTTAGCCCTGCTATAGGGTCTAGTCACATGACATGACAAGTACCTTTCCTCCCTATCTCCCTCCCCCAATGTATGGGTTCTAAATGCTGCACAGACAGTTCCACATAAGGACATAGAGCTGTTCTCCTCTGTGAGTCCACGGCGGCTTGATGAGGCAACCCCAAGTAGCAAGGCTTGATAAGGCACCCCCAGGTAGCAAGGCATGATGAGAAACCCCTAGGTTTATGCCCTGAGCTCATAGGAACCCAGAAGATACCCCAACGGTGGATCAGGCCACAGCACCAGAGATAGCGTCAGTATTGCAGTGGGAACTGTGACCTTCACAGCATCATATTAAAAAAATTACGCGGACTTGGACTTTAAGAGCATTCAGCTACTGTTTTCATTGTAGGCATACAATACTGTATTTCATAACATATCAGTATGAAATAGATATACTTCTGGAAGAACAACTGGCTGGGGCTAGAACAGATTATTTAAAGGTTAAATTGGCATAACAATGTATTTTCATTTGCTGTGGATTAAGCAGCAGTGGATTAACTATATGATAACTTCATGAAATGGGGCTATAAAAGATTGGTTTTCTCGTCTTACAAACTTTCAAGGTTTAAGTCAGCATGCTAAGCTCCAGCACCTGGAACGCTTTATCAGTTCTCTGCACATTTCATTGTGTTGTTGTATTTTATTGTGTATTGTATGCAACATGTACATCTAATCCTTAATCTTCATCCACACACATGAATAACAATGTGCATCGGTTTTAAAAATTCCTTTTATATGACAGTTTATGTAGAGAGTAGCATAGTTCTGCTAGTTGTGGATTGGGCAGATTAGATAATCCATGTCCACTGCAGATTTGAGATTAGTAAATTCTAGAAAACCTCTGTTAAAACATAATTGTCAGGTGTTATGTAGACTACAAAATATTCAGCTTTTAAATGTAGGTCCAGTGCTATTAGTGAGCAGAAAAGAATCCAGCAACTAAATGTGTCTATTTATTAAAGATGAACTCCGAGCACCATCATTGGAATAGCTGGGAGGGGTTTGTAGAGTGTTATTCCTACCATGTGTCAATTCAGTGATTTATTTTTTTCCGGGACAGCCTTAAAAATGGGCTATCAGTTGTCCCCGATAATAATTTACTTCTTCCCCCTCCATCAACACCATTGCTGTGCAGATATGATAGACACCTGTACCAGAATTGTATCTCAGCGTAGCCTATGGCAGTGTTTTTCGACCTTTTTTGTGCAAAGGCACACTTTTTTCATGAAAAAAATCACGAGGCACACCACCATTTCACTAGTGTGCCGCGGCACAGTGGTTGAAAAACACTGGCCTATGGTATCATCAAGGTCGCAGACTATCCTGACACTTTTATTAAAAGTAATAGTAATGTGTAACATAGATATTTATTAGCTTTCACAGTTCTCTCCCAGGAAAATGCCTTCATGTGATTATATCTCTAGCCATCTTTTTCAGACATCATCCAGGGTCAGCACCTACTTTACTTCCTGGACTGAGATATTGACAGTCGTGTAAATCCTGATTTACATAACTGTGTCGTGGGCACACATAAATAACAATGTGCATCAGTTTGAAGAAACCGAACAACCAAGAAAAAGTTATTGGTTGTGTTCACAAATGTCTGACACAGATAACCCCCTACACACACACACCTGTTGTATTTCTTATCCACACCCACTGCAGTCAGAATACAGAAGCCCGTGGGGAGGGGGGGATTGAGTGTTTTGTTTTTTAAATTGAGCTCTGGGAATAGTGTATGGCCAGCTTAAGGAAAGGCTTCCTCTTGCCTGCAGCAGACTGATGTCATAATCTCTGCCTAGGTAATGTCACTGGATCGGAGTACGGCTGCCTCTTAGGCTAGGTTCACACTTGAGCGTCAGCTGAGCGGCATTCGGCTCGGCTATTCTGCCCGGTACCTCTGTGGTACCAAGCAGAATAGAAAAATAGTTTAAAAAGTGCAAATTGAAATAGCCAATAGGAATCTAGATATGCATTCCTTGAGTGATTTAATTTTTTTTCCTTTTTTTTTATTCTGACGGCAGCCAACGTATCCGATGTCAGAAGGGGAAAAAAACGAGCAGGGAAAGGTTTACTCTGCTCAATCGAGCGGAGTGAACCTTTCTGGGAGAAAGTGTTTCTCTCCCGGGCGGCCGGGAGCCGTATTAGACTCCCAGAGCATCCGGGAGAGTAATGACAGATGGCGTCCCTGGTTACCAGGTAACCAGGAACGCCATCTGCCATTACACACTGAGAACACAAAGAGGCAGCTGTGATATCATAGCGGCCCGGCCGTGTTCTCAGTGTGTAATGACAGCGTCCCTGGTTACCTAGTAACCAGGGACGCTGATCTCTCTGCAAGTGGCCGGAGCCAGCCGTAAGATTACAGCTGGCTCCACCCAGCTGGCAGAAGCAGGCTGTCGGCCGGCCAACTTCAGCTTTCACCTCGGCTCAGTCGAGCAGAGGCATATGCCTTCGGCTCGACTGAGCCGCTCGGCCAAGTTCGGGAGCTGTCCGAAGCTAGCCGAAGGATCAGCTGAAGCTATGGCTAGATCCTTCGGCAGCTTAGTGAATAGACCCCTTAGTTCACATTAGCAAAAAACGAAAATCGGTGCTGTACCATCAATTGTTCGATTTTCATTCAAACCTTCCACCTTTAGTCAAGTTAGGAGCAAACTGCTTGAAGTTCCTCTGAGTTGCCGGAAAAGGGTTTCATATTGGCACCAGGCAGAGGATACGGTGTGCGCTCCTGAGGTGCAAGTCCTTTGCCCCTTATATCTACATATACAACAGTGATAGAAACTCATGTTGTTTTCAGTTATTGAGTGTCGAAAAGTGAAACCTCAAAATGAGTGATAAATAGATGTAAATGGAGAATTCATATGTATCTTCAAATAAAAATAGAAAAATTATAAGTCTCATTTTAGAAAATGAAAGAAATATGGTTAGGCTCTTGGGTTTTTTATCACAGGTCTACACAATATTGAGGTTATTTGTCTGTGAATGCTCTTTATTGCCACCTGAGGCAACATTATACACAGGCCATGTCAGTGAAGTTAAAATTGCAGAGTAAATCCATCCACAGTCTTTCCTTGCCCGATTAACAACAAATGTAACGTTGGCTAGGTGATGCTGGAAAGAGCCAACTGTTTGTAGGCAGATAGACTTGAAACGACTTAACTTTTGGTATTAGTTACATGTTATTTCCCTTTCCCGCACTGAAGAGCTAAACAACCCTTCTTGACATACTATGGCCTCCAGCATAGGGCATCACTTGATAACCTTTTTTTTTTTTTCTTTAAAAAGCTGAGAATGCATGCTGTGAGACTGATGGGTTGTGCAGGGTGCCATGTGCTTGCAGCATTTGTGAACCACTCTGATCTATGCTGCATTTTCCATGCGTGTAAAGATTTTAC